AGTCTGCGGCCTCCATCCCGATCAACCTCAGCCTCATGATCTTCGCCTCGTCGGTGCTGTGGGTGGCTACAGGCCTACTGGACAGCGACTACTTCATCACGGGTCTCAACTTGGCTGGTGTGGTGTTGGGTGCTATTCAAATGGTATTGTACTACATCTATCGCCCTGGACGAGCTGTGGAGCAATACGGCTCAAATGGAGAGCTGCCTATCGTTGTCTCGCCTACTTCCAAGAGTGCTGGCGTCGTGATGACCACCGAGAGCCCCGTTTACAAACCACTTTCGTCTCCGACTGGTGTCGGCAAAGTCTAAAAGACAATCAATGCATATCTACTTACAACCGACAGTATTGTATTCATTGTTCTGCACGTGGCCAACATGTAAGCGTAGCGACCTGAGCTCCTGTTGAAGTCGTCTTTACTGCGATTGGTCGACTAGCGAAATGAGACAGCTAATCCACTAAGTCATCCAAACCATCTAGCGTCACCGACACAACTTTACAAAATGTTGTACAATAGAAGGGGGAAATTCAGCAAATCACTATCGGAGTGAAATGACATCCATGCGACGGTTGGTGACACTAAGCACACACTTCAATAGCCGGAAACGTACAACTCTAAAGTTCCTTAGCGCAATGCGTGACCTCATTTTCACTTTTACCAGCTTCTATCCACTCAACGATGGGCTTCCGGTACACTTTCCTGGGCGTAGCGACCGCTGTCGCACAAGTTGTGCTCAATTTGAGTCCAATTCCAGACATCACTCGAGTTCACCGACATCAGAGGATCGGGGAGCTGGCCGCTCTCCCGCTAGTTGCTATGGTTGTCAACTGCCACTTCTGGTACGTCCAGGCCTAGGTTTCTATTCCATCTTGAAGCTTATCTTACGTCTAATTAACCCGAACAGGTTGGTGTACGCCCTCGTCACGGATAGCATGTTCCCTCTATTCGCGACTCAAGTCTTCGGCCAGCTCGCTACAATCGCGTACAACATTATCTACTATCGCTGGAGCGTGCCAGAGAAGCAGAAGGAATTGCGAAAGCTATACGCGTGGGCGTTTGCTGCACACTGCGCTCTCTCGCTGTACACAATTATTGGCTTATTGGGCGCAACAAATCAGTCCAACTCTGAGGTTGGCACGTGTCTCGGCTGCGTTGGTATCGTCATCGACGTCTGGATGTTCGGGTCCCCACTGGGTACACTGAAACACGGGATGGAGACGAAATCGGCCGCCTCTATTCGGATCAACTTGAGTCTCATGCTCTTCGTATCAACGACATTGTGGGTCGTCTCTGGTATGGTAGACAGCGACTACTTCGTAGCGGGTCTGAACGCGATCGGATCACTGTTAAGCATCATCCAAATCGTGTTCTACATGATCTACAGACCAACAGGAGACGGGGATTTGACACAAGAGGAGACAATCGAACACGATGATAAAGTGTCTGTTGTCGTCACACCTACTGCTCGGACTAAAACCCCAGCGTTGTCCATTCAGAGCCCAGTGTACAAGACGATGGTGTCGCCAACAACTAGTTGAAACCTATTTCAACAATCATTGTTTCGAAACGAAAATGTAAGTCTATTTTTCACATTTACCCGAAATCATCAAATTCGCACTTTATCTATTGGAGATGCCATGGACTGGTACGCTGGACTCTTGAGAGCATGATTGCTGCTTGTAGGTGAGATGACAAGTGAAATGGGCTTATCTATCAGTACAGACGCATCTTCTTTAGCGGCGATTGTCTTGCTCGGTCGGTAGCGCATGTACACGGAGATCTGAGTGATGCTCAGAAAAATCCCCGTGATATTCAACGCCATGATGATCTTGTCATTGTCCACGATCGACAGCGCAACCCACAGTGTCGTGTTGAATAGCATCATAACGCTGATATTGATCGGTAACGAAGCGGCAGACTTGGTCTTTATAACGGTCCGAATGGTGCCCAGAGGAGACGCGTACATCCAGAGATTAACCACCAAACCGACGTAACCAAGTGTTGTACCCACTTGAGCGTAGGTCTGGTTTGTAACCCCAGTGACACCAAGCACAACATATATAGTGAAGACCATAGAGAAGGCCAAGCCATATGCTAGCAGTCTGTTCACAGCGCGGCGATCAACAGCCCAGCGGTAGTAGAATGCCATAAAGACAATTGAAGCCGTTTGGCCGATCAGTTGCGTGACCAAAAGCGGGAAAATGCTGTCGGTCATGTAAGCGTACACCGTCCTGGAAGAGTAAAAGTTAGCACGACCACCGCCGAATAACATTAAAAGATAAGCGTACCATAGGTAGTTGTTAACGACCATTGAGACCAGCGGGAGTGCCGCCATCTCACCGGTAGTCTTATTCTTGTGGACCTTGATAATGTCAGGCCCGGGGCTCAGGATCATCCCACACTGGGCAATTGTTGTCACCACTCGAAGTAAAGTCACCCAGACTCCCATGGCTACCGATAGAATGCGCTGAGCTGTTCGAAGCGAGTTCACAAGTGACCACGAAGCTTTAATCCATCGACTCGTTAGAGAACAACACTGCCACCATTCGTATAGGAAAGGTCGTCGTCGAGGGGTCTAAACTCGCTGATGGGAAGGCCCTCATCCTCCTACGCACGCAACGAATCTCACTAGTCGAAATCTCTCACATCCGCACTACAGTGCTACCCCTCGTTTGCCATCCAGGAACTGTGTATTATATAACAGAGGTTTTTATGATTGACACAATGGGTTAGCGCCACCGACCGGTAAGACCATATCAGCTTTAAAGGGTACCAGAAGGTAGCGGGTTCAGTTACGGGGGGAGCACAGTTTCATGAACTACAGTAGTTTAATATAGTCTAATAAGTACTAAACTGTACTTCTAGAAGTAACGTTAAACTTGAAGTTAGTACAGTAAAACAGAATAAGGTTATCCACTGGGCTCTGTATCTACCTTTGAGATTTATCTGACCACTGTTAATTCGACAATACATGCAACGTTCTACAGTTGCAAAAATTTCAAACTTTATTAAGCGTATTTTATCACTCCTAATGTCGTCTCAGGATCGAGTTGTTTCAACTGGCGACGCAAGTGCCTGGTAGACGGGGTTCTTAGCAGAGTGTAGCATGGTGTCTTTCGGAGAGATGACAACTGCAATCTGCTTGTCCGCGAACTCAAATTCCTCCTCCTGTGCGATCGCAGGGTTTGGTCGAAAGCGAATGTACAATGTGATCTGGATGATACTCAGTATCACACCCGCAATGTTCAACGACATGATGAGCATATCCCCGTCCACGATGGAAATGGCGACCCACAACACCGTAGTGAAGAACATCATGACGCTCAAGTTGATCGGCAACGACACAGCCGACTGGGTCCTCAGCACGTGTCGAACTGTGCCTAATGGAGACCCGTACATCCAAAGGTTGATGCCGATACCGACGTATCCTAACGTTTTGCCTACTTCGTCATCGGTTTGGTTCGTAACTCTGGCAATGCCCAGCACCACATACGCAGTGATGACAGCATACCCTAAAAGAGCCCAAGCGAGCAACTTGTTCAATGCTGGACGGTCACTCGACCAACGATAATATATCGCAGTGAACACCATGGCTGCGAGCTCGCCGAACAGTTGCGTTGTCATGAGCGGAAAGATACTGTCGGTTAGGTACCCGTACAGCGTCCTGTTGATAACGAATATATAGAATTAGAGGACGATAGTGGTCCTACTGCAATGAAGGGAGTCGTACCATAGGTGGTTGTTGACGATCATTGCAATTAGCGGAAGTGCCGCCATCTCGCCTGTGGTCTTGTGCTTGTGAACACGGATAATGTCGGGTCCTGGACTGAGAATCATTCCAATCTGGGCGATAGAAGTAACCACGCGAAGTAGAGTCACCCAGACCGTCATGGTCTCCGCTGGGAAATGTGTTGAAGGGATCGAAGCGAGTTGAAAAATGAGCAGGTCGTTGGCATCGACTCGATGAGATCGAGGCGCAGTTCAAAAATCACGTTGCAGTCGGTTTCGCTGACGTACGCCGATTTGGGACGAATGGATAGCGTTCATTGGACAAAATAGGGTCTCCAGACCGGTCTAATCAAAGTCGATAGGAAGAGCACATCTCGTAGGTCGCTGTAACTCACTGTAACTAACTGTAGCGAGTCTCGCTCTGTCCAAAAGCACAGAGCAAGATCCTGACGACTGGCTACGAGGGCTTGGCGTGCACTGTGTCGATTGCGAGGTTGAAGGTCAGGTTCAACGTCGAGACAGATTACGAGCATGCACTCACGTCACTGTCATGAATAGTGACCGCGTAGCCAAGTTGTCCTCAGGTTATGGACTTGCGAGTGATACTGTAAACCCCTCCTACGTTTTTTGCTTCTTAGTTATTGTGCGTATTGACATGTGAAAAGAGGATACTCGAGTTAGATCGGAGTCTATAAATGCGGTATGTGTCCGCGAATGTCCATGGGTTTTCATAGGGACTTGGGCATGGATATGAATGAATGAATGGTTCAGAGGTCCTCTATTTATGGTTTAGTAACTATGGAGTCGTGGAATCGCTGGAGGCTTTGCTTTACCAAAGGTCGATTCAGAAGGGGTGAAGTTTCAGACGCGTCAAAAGCTGGTCATTTAGATGTTTCCAAAGGAGGGGCGGAGCTCTTGCTTGGGAAACTACACTTCGTCTTGGATTTTGAACTTGCGAGTCCATACGCAAGTGTAAAAAAAGAAAACAGCGTGGTTTTCGCGCATGCTACTGATGAGTGGCGCACTACCATGTTATCGTGGCTGATACTATTTGTTCTAACCCAGCACGCACTCCAGTTAAGAGGAAAATGAAGTACACACGTCTATTACCCTCCAGTCAGTTGACGTCGCTCTCGCTAGATTTTGTGCATATCCGTTGCAGTGCGAAGTTTATCGATACCGGTAATAGCATAATATGAAAGTTAAATCCATTCGAACGTACAACACAAACGCTAAGTGCCTTGTTCTGTAACTCATCTATGGTCACTCACTATTTAGCCCCGACACCGTTGCTATCACAGCGGCTGATTGAGAGTGACCGTTCGACCTATCCCCAAGTGTTCCATCCACTTGCCTAACTACAGCGCCTATTAACACGCGTACAGCTCTAAGGGAATGTTCGACGTAAAATGCCATACCCTAGGCAAATGGAAAAATAGCAATTTCAGAGGCAGGTAACTTGCTTACAATATCTTATACTATAAAACATATCCCAGCCAAATTCAAGCTCACTTGAAAAGTTACGCAAAGTGCAGAACAACCGATCCCTGTTAAATCGCATTCTACTACTTAAATTCATAACCTCCACTCCATCATACAGTAAGTTCGAAGTGTAGTGCCCTGCACTGCACTACGTACAGACACCAGCTAGAGTACTGGCACGCACTCGTCTCTGGCGCCACGCACAGACCAGAGCCAGACCAAGATAATGCCAGACACGCTTATATGTATCGACAATTATGTTGACAA